GTCCTGGGGGGACTTTCGGTCCTGGGGGGGGGAGAAGGCAGGGTGTGCAGTCGGGAGCCAGGGACGGTGAGGCGTTGAGTGGGGGGATACGGGGGGGCTGCCGGCCCGCAGCCTTGGGACACAGCAGACCCCAGTCGGGGCCGTGCGATGCGGCGCGCCGGGTTGGGGTGCTGTCCTGTTGTCAGGCTGCATCCCGACAAGGCGCGCTGCATCGCACTGTGCGCGCTGACAGCACCCACGCCCGCCGCCGCCCGCCGATGGCCGCCGCTACCTGCCACAGCCACCGCCGGCTCGGCCGGCCAGCACAGCAATACCCGCCTGTCCCAACGCGTCTCCGCGCGCCGCTGCTCCAGCCCCTCGCCCGCAGCCACCGCCATAACCGTGGCCCGCAGCCTCAAACGCGCCGCCCCACACTACTGTGGCGGGGCCAGGCAGCGCGCACCGAGAACGGGCAGTTGACCAGGGGGGCGCCGTAGAGTTTGACCAGGTAGCGCGCTATGGCCAGGGTGGAGGGCGTGTTGAGCAGCATGGCGGTGTGCAGCACGTTCTCGCCCACGGGGCCCCGCGCGTACACGTTGCAGCGGTCGGGGAAGAGCTTGGTGATCATCTGGTTGCATGGTTTTTGGGGGGGGGGTGAGGAGGGGCCGCGGCGGTTGCGTGTTGTGGCAAGCACGGGGCGCGCAACGGTACGTGCGAGTGTGTGTGGATGTTTAGTGTGTGCGTGTGGGCGTGTGTGCGTGTGTATGTGTGTTTGTGTTGCGGGTGAGGCAGCTGGCGCGTCAGGGACAGCAGGGGACGTTGCTGCGAGGAGCTGGTCGGCGCGTACAGCTTACTACAGTAAAACGTTCCCCAAAGGCAGCAATGTTTGGGTTGCCGAGCCCCCAGCGTGAGCAGCCCAGATTGCAGTGGCGAACCAGCTGGAGACGGCAAGCAAGATGCAGTACGCCCTGCCACGCCGGGTCGCAGCAAGGGGAGCCAGGGCACCCGGCATAAACGTGCCCAAAACGCAGTCGCAGTCGCGGTCGCAGTCGCGCCGCGGCCCCCCAAGCTCGACGGGCGCACCTCCAAGTTGCCGACCTTCACCGCGTGCCATGCCGTGCCGGCAGAGTCCATGAGCGCCGCCTGCTTCACCACCGACGGCGCCGACGCAGAGACGCGCGTCCGCGGGGGGTGCGGGCGCTGCGCTCCACCGTCCAGCAGCTCGCCCTCCCCGCCGCCGCCCCTCTCGGTGCTGTTCTTCCCTCCCATCCTTTGAAGCCTTTCCACTGATCCCCTGCCCGAGTGCGCCCCGCTGGGATCCTAGCACTGGCAGGTGTCGTCTACTCGGCAAACGATCTGCAGCGCGAACAGAACAATGACATCGTTGGATACCATAGTTCAAGAATACGAGTCCAGCGAATGCATTTTCATGTTGCAGCTTGAGATATGATATATGATACATCATGGCTGACGACAATCCGGGACGTCCCACTCCCCTTCTTGTTCAGCGCGTGATCGTGCCAAGAGAGAAATTTATGCAGTATCACTCATCTACTGGGCGGCGGCGCAGCCGTACTGCAGGCCCTGGTGCCTTGGCCGCCCTGGACACACCACGTCGCCAGCAGGGCCGATGTAGTAATGGAATCATGTGCTCCCTTGCCCTGCCACGATTTGCAACCCCAACTGCACACTCAAATGATGATGTAACACGTGCGTGAAATCTGTCTGTAACTCACAACCAGCATAAGGGCGCGAAGCTGCGCGCTGGCAGTGCCTCCCCAGTGCACATCGGCATCGTGGGCCTTCCGCATCTACTGTGCAGTGCCGACATTGACACACGGTTGACAAGCCAAGGTCACTCAACACGTGCTGCGTCAGAAACCAAGAGGTCCATGCCAGTTACTGCGACTGCTGACGCCGGGCTCAACACGCCCTCTCCGCCACGGTGCGCCCCCGGGGCGCAGGGGCCCTGCCGCAGGAACACAGACAGCACAAGCCCGGGCTGAAATTTGCCCCTACCTGGAGCCCGCACAACTGCAAGCCAGGACCGCGCTGCTTGACAGCAGATTCCCCCTGTGTGGAACGTTCCCCTTGCGCCGCCTCACGCGGGTACTTTAGGGAGGCCACACACAAGGCGCGAGGTCGCCGCCACTCGCTGAGGCGTCTGGCGCGCATTGCTTTGTTGTAGCCACGACGCCATGGCGTGTCTGGCCTGCGGCCCTGCTCAAACATGCAACAAAAGCTGCGACCTAGGAGCAACACAATCTCTATTACAATATCACAATCACAGATGCCCTCACTTGCTTCCCTGCAGACATCGTATTTCGTCCGAGTCACAAGTACTGAATTGACGACTTCGAGGGGTGTGGCGGCTGCGGCGCAGCGCCATGCAGGCAAGAGCACAGGAAATCGCACACAGACTGGGTGCAAGACTGTTGCAAAGCTGGGGAGTGTCAAACCCGATACATGGGTTTTCACACTGCAGATCTATTGGTGCCTATTATTGATGTCCAGCGACCACAAGGGTCCTGCTTACCCCAGGCTTTGCCCTGACCTTTAAGATACGCAAGCAACACCTTCACCCACCATAAGCCGCACCCTTCGGCTGGGTGCGCTCATGCAGGCGATTTGTTGCCGACGAAAGCCGCCTGTGATGCGACGGATGCGAGCATGCTCCACCCAGTGGGGGTGAGCCGCGTGTGCGCAGCCTCAGTGTTGCAGCCCCTGGCCCCTCAATTATGCACGAGCTGAACAGCGCCGTGATCATCGCTGGGGGCCTCACCTTCCAAGTGGAGGCACCAAGGGCAGCGGGACTGGAAGTGCTACGGGCGGAGTAGCCAGTCAACATCGGGTCAACGGTGAGGTGCGTACTGCGGACAGCCGGAACAATGTGAGTGTAGGTGATTAGAAAGGAAGTGTCAATTTTTATACCACACCCGTTTCCCATTACGTGTAGCCATTAGTTGCTGGGCATTGAAGCGAGCAACCTGCAAGCGCTTGATCTCACGGAGCCCCTTGCTCGGGTGGCATGCAGTACTACTTCAATCAGCAGAAATTGATATATGACGACATCGACCACGCGCGGTGCCGCCGATACCCAGCCTCTCGCACACTTGGTTTGTCATCACACTCGGACGGCCCGGCTTTTTCATGCGTCGGGTGGAAGCGCGCTAGAATTTGCCAAGCTTAGGCAAAGCCAATTGGCATCTGTTCATCAAGGCCCCCGCTCACCCAGATCCTACGCACTGTTACACACAACTCTGTACGGGGTCCCTGTAGCAGAGAGGCTTCAAAAGAGCCAATAATTCGAGCAGGCGACCCCGCCTATTTGGCGGGCGTTGCCTTAGGCACTCCAAATGCTGAGTGCCCCAGCGACCTCGGCACCGCTGCGCCGCACTGGCGTGCTCGCATCACGCCGTCCCCTGGGCCTGGCGCACGCGACGCGCACGCGGCCGCCGCGTCCCGGGCGGCGGCGCACTCTTGGCGTGGCATGCCGTTATGAAGCGCTGCTGGAGCCGGCTATCGACGAGACGGTCCGGCGCGCCCTCGTCACCATGGGTGGGGCCGGTGCCCAGGCGGGCGGAGCGGGCGCTGTCGTGCTGCACGGTGCGCGCGTGTGGCCCAGACTTCCCCTGCGGTGCCGGGGAGGGGTGGTGCGAAATCACTCGTACAGCGCAGCCGCCACACCGCGGCAAGCCCCCGCAGCCGTGGGCTGCACGTGCCAGCTGCCCCTGCCGCACCCAGCACCACCATCGCAGCCACTCCCTCCCACCCTGCGGACCTGCGACCCCGCCACCCTCTCCCCCCCCTTCCTCGCTGCGCCAACCCGCAGGCGCCCACCACGCCGCGTCCCACGCGGCAGTGGGTGGCGCCCAGGGCGGCCTGTTCCTAAGCACATTCTGCGCCCTGTCTGTGGCGCTTGGGGCGCTGCTGTACCACTTTGGCGGGGTTGTGTCTGAGATCGTGCGGCTGAGGAGGCAGGAAGAGGAGCGGCTCAAGGTGGGGGCAGCGCACGCGCACGCATGTGTGTGAGTGTGTGTGCTGTGTGTATGCGCGCGCGCGTGTGCGTGTGTTTGTCTCTATGTCAGGGGCTCGTCGCGCGTGGACGCAAATGTGCGGGTCCGTGGCTCTGGGGGTGAGAGGGTGCGCGGCCTCGCCCCGCCCCAGCAGCTCTGGTGCGCCCCTTGCGGGACTCTCACACGTCCCGGCGCCTCAATCGCAGCAGCGCTTCCGGGTGCAACTTTCCCCCGGCTTTCCCGCAACCCGTCACATTGACATACTGCGGCGCCCGCCATGCGCGTGCCCCCCAACCCAGGAGCCCGTGCTGCTGCACGGCGTGGACGTGTCCCGAAGCGCGCTGCTGGGGGACGAACGCGTGCTGGCGGCCGCGCGCTTTGCTGCGGCGGCGCACGAGGGGCAGGTGCGCAAGACGGGGGAGCCCTACGTGGCGCACTGCGTGGAGGCTGCGCTGATCGTGGAGCGCAACCTGCCGCGCAGGGAGGCGGAGGCCGACAGGTGGGTGGGGTTGTGGCTGAGGGGGTTGACGGCGGCCTGGCACTGTGGTCGAGTGCTCTCTGGGGGGCGTTGACGCTCAGGTCACGGGGCGGCTGCGGTTTGTGTTGGGGGGGGGGGAGGGGAGGGGATGCGGCGGCCCGGGGCTGTTGGCTCCGTCTGGCTTGAGGGGCGGCAGCGGCGG